TGAGAATATGGAAATGATTAAGTATGGAATAGGTGTGAGGAATAATGACAAAATGATGATTTTAAATGAAATAACACATCAAGAAAATCTATTGTTTATGCTTGAATATATTAAAGAGTGAAAGAGTAGGCTAGTTAATAGAAACAAATTAGTAACATATCTAAAGAAGTAGAGACATCAAAAGAAGTTTTAATAAACAAGATCTTTACGTTAAAACTGGAAGATTTTTTTAATTGAATCAAACAATCATAATTTGAATGTTGAGACTAAATACTATAATCAAATATAATTATAAGTTATGATTTTGAAGAGTAATCAAAGTTAAATTAAAAATTCAAGATAATATATTCAATGAACCAATAAAATATAATATACATAAGAAGAAATAGATAAAACATAAGGATGGACAGTCTATATAAGCAAATAATTTTTGGAAAATAAAGAATTAATTGGATTAACCAATAATATAATAAAGCTTAAATAAAATGGGAAGGTGCTACAGTTGCAGTTGTAGGTTTATATGATAAAGGAAAAACTTTTGTTTTGAATAATCTTACTTAATCTAATTTACCATCTTGAAAAAAGTAATAACTAAAGGAATTTCACTTAAACATATTGATGTTGATTCAGATACTTAATTAATTTTACTTGAATCTGATATCTTTGTATTTATTATCTCAAGGAGCAATCATTTTTAGTAATTAATACTAAATAAATTGATTCCCTTTTCTCTGGTAAAATTTGTCAGTTGCTAGGGTTTTATTTATAAAAATTAGATATTAGAATTGGACCACTAAAAGCAAAGGCTATACATTTCATATCCTTTCTATGATCAGATGGCAGTATAGATTACTTTCATGAATTAATTATGATGAACAAATGAAACAAGGAGGTTAAAAAGAAATAGACAGACCTTAAAATTAAAAATTATATTGAGACTTCTGCTTCTTAACTACTTTCCAAAACAATTTTGTGGCTTATTTTTGAGAGATTATGAACTAGTAATAAGGTTTTCTCTTCAAATCTAACATATGCAGAAATATGAACCAAAGAGATTCAATATATTATTTTATACTAACATATACTTAAAAAGTGACAAATAAATACCAATTACAACTATGATATTTTGATATTTGGTTAATATGAAGAAATCAGGAGCTTATTAGTGCAACTCCTATAGTAAATATAGCCTTATTTTTTGATTGGAATTAGCTAATAGTTATGATGCAAATACATATTTAGACTTAAGAAAAGATAAAAATTTGCAAAGAATTTGATATAATTTAATAAGATAACCTCTTAATAATGAAAAATAGAAAAACTGTAGATCAATATCAGTTATAGCCATAAAGATTATCGGAGCATTTAACATCTTCGAATTACAACACTGGTTCCGAAGATAATTAGCTGGATATCATTTATTTTTATTTAATTAAAAAAATATTATTATGATAGAGAGTAATGGAGTTAGAATG